GTGATTCATCAGTTGGAGTTGCCTTTTAAGTCTCAAACACTGACTTGAGAACTAAGCCTGTTTAAAAGAGGTGGCACCACTCCCTCAAAAATTGCCATCACTTGGAGGGAGAGTATATTTCAGTGGTAGAGCACATGCTTAGCATGCACGAGGTCCTGGGTTCAATCCCCAGTACCTCCATTTAAAAAATAATAGTACGTAAATAAATAAACAACCCCCTCCCAAAACAAACCCCCCAAAAAACAAAAATTATAAAAATTTTGAAATTGCTGTTACTTAATTATGTATGGTGATGGAACTGGTGGGGAAGAAAGGAACAGGAAGACTGCAACTTTGAAATAAGCTCTGTCCACAGTATGCTGGATGGTCACGTCTGTAGATCAGGATCAGTGGCAAGTTCTCCAGCAACTCCTCCGCCTCCTGGGTTGCTAATTGATGCCCAAAACACCAATTTTCATCACAACGAAAGAGAAAATGCTCTTTCGTAACTGAAAGACAATAAAATCTAACTGAAAAGTGTTTTAAATTGATCAAAAATGTGATTAAATCTTTTTTTTTAAAGAATAAGGAAATTCAACGAACTTCGAAGGAATTAGAATTTGGGTTTAAAAAAAGAGCATACTAATACAGAGTAGTACATGGATAACATTGCCAACACCTCGGTACCCATTAGTCAAAAAAAAAAAAGTGACATATTGTCAGACTGCTTTAGATTATTTTTTAGTTTCGAAGAAATAAACCATGACAACTAAGGCTGAATTCCTGTTTCCCTGCCTAATCCCATTTCTTTTCCTTCCTCCCCAAGGACTACCACTATCATGAATTCAGTGTATACATAGCCTGTGTTTTATAACTATCTCATACACAAACAATAGCAAAAACTTTTTTTGTTGTTTTTAGTTTTCATAAGTGGTACCATACAGTGTATCTCATTCTGTAATTTGCTTTATTCTCCTCAACATCATATTTGGGGAATCAAGGCAGGATATTGAAGATGGATCTAGATTATTGACTTCTAACTCTTAGATGGTATTTCATTTTATGAATACATCAAATCTGTACCTCTGCTAAGTAATTTGGGTGATTTCCAGTTTCTGTCTGTAAAGAGTGCTACAGAGAACATCTTTATGAACTTGTGTGTGTTACCAAGCTGTATATTCATGAAGTGAGCACACTTGCAACTTTACTAGATGTTGCCAAATTACTCTCCAAAGTGGATGTATCAATTTCTAGATCCATCACCAGGTGATGAAAGTTCCTGCATCACCATATCCTCACCAATACCTAGAACTGGCAGACTCTTATTTTGGCCAATCTGGTTGGATATGAAATGATGTTTCTTTATTGTTTTAGTTTGCATTTCTCTAATTTCTAGAGAGGTTGAGCACCATTTTGTTCTTTTGTGAATTGCCTGTTTGTAATCTTTTACTGTTTTTTTCTGTTGAGTTTTTTTATCTTTTTCTTACTGATTTATGAGATGTCTAAACAGTTTTAAGATAGTGTTATTGGGTGTGGCACTACATTTACTACCACTTTGAAATGTGTGGTTTTCTTTGTCCGTGATATGAATCCATTGGTTTTCTTCATATGCTTATCACCCATGTTTTAAAGTATATTTTGTTTAAGTAAAGTGGCATGAACGGAAGGTTCTCCTAAAGGTAACTAGGCAAGACTCAGAGAGGGTAAGGAGGAATAGGACTAAAGAGGGTGTGTGTGAAAGACAAGGAGGAAAAAGGTGGGGAGGGGAGCTGAGAAGCCTGTGCATAAGAGGTAACGGATCGCCTAGGCCCCGGAGCAAGACAGCTTCGCAGTCCGGGGCATCTATGTAGCAGGGGAAGGGAGACTTGTACCCTGAGTAAGGACGGAGGTGCCAGTGGGGGAACACATTCTGTCTTGCTGGAAAACGACTGTAGACATTTGCCTCAACTACTTTGTTATGCTTGTTACTGTGGGTCCAGCAGCTTGGAGCTCACCTGCCCACCCTACCCCCCACTTCAGACATTTAGTGCTTACTATGGGCTGGAGGCTGAGAGTAGGGATATAAAACTTAAAAAGGCAAAGTTAGACTCCCTCCAGGAGTTTTCTGTCCAGGAGAGGAGTGTGGCCTTTACAGTACAGCCATGATGCAGGTGTGGTATACCATGGAACACCAGGAGCACAGAGGTGGCGAGTCTGGTCTTCCCCGGGAGAGTCAGGGAAGACCTCACAGAGTGGAGTCCTGCCAGCCTAGTCAGGGAAGGAAAATGGAGAAAGGGGCACAAGTGCAGGAAACAGTTTGTTCAGAGCTCAGACGAGACTGAATACGGCAAGGGGCTGGAAATGTACACAGCACATGATGCGCTAAGTCACGCTAAGTAAGACATTTGGGTTTTATCCTAGAGGTGATGGGGAGCTGGAGGCAAAAAGTTTTTGAATACAATCATTAAAGACAAATGATCCAGCCTCTGACCCTTTCAAGAAGACCATTGGCTAGTGGGGTTTAAAGTCTTCAGCCAGCGTTCACCAGAGTCTAGGTCCTGGAATATGAGCTGCATTGCCTCATGTGGAGAAGGACAGAACAGCATTGACATCTCAGGACTTACGTGGATTTCTATTTGCGATTCTACTTGTTTCTGAGTAGTAAGATGATTTCTTCATCAAAATTTATCCTTATTTTCAAGTAGCAGAGAACTAGAGAAATGAATGAGGGCTAGCGGTTTCCGGTTCTTAAGAAAAATATCCTCAAAATGTTTCCTTTTGTTGATTGGAATGAGTCAGTTCTCAGGGGTCGTTTTCTTCAGAGGCCTCCTTGTGCCCAGAAAGGGACGTTGCTGAGAAGCTCTGGCATTAACATTCAGTGATACGTACCTGCTTAGTAACTGCTGACTCCTAGAGCAGCTTCGCGACTTACATGCAAAGATCACATGCAGTAGAAGGTACAAGTTGCACAGCACCCAGACGGCTCCCTTGCAGCCTCCTCCTGGAGAAGAAAACAGTGGAAGCTGTAATAGAGCTGTCACTGCGATAAAACCTCCCAGGTTTTCCCCTCTTGTCGATTCTCCGAGTGAGCCTTTCCCAGGACAATCTCTCCTCCTGCTGCCATTGGTAAATGAATTTGGATGTCTCTTCTGGTTTATTAACATCAGAAAAATGGCCAGACAGTGAATTTCACATGGGGTGGAGCTTCACGAGGTTAGCGAGACAGGAAGCTTGATACTCCCAGGGATAAAGGGCCCAGAGTGAAGCTTCACCCCAGCCTGTTCCAGACTGGTTCCCGCTCTGGGCCATCCCGGTGGCAGAAGTAGGGTTGCTCCTGATTACCTGTTTGATGGTGGTAGCTTCAGCCAGGATTCCTCCAGTTGGAGCTGTTGGTTACTGAGCCCTTCCCTGACCAGGCCTGGAAGGATGGGTCTGCCCTAGTGATAATTCGGATGGCTAAGGCATTGAAGGCTCTTGCAACAGAAACCTTATAGAACAATCCAGTGGATTTACTCTCTTTAACAGAAGTAGCATAAGGAGTCTTACAGAATCACAGAGAAGAGGAACGTGGGGGAAAGTGTGGTCCTTCCTTCCTTTTATAGATGAGAAAACTTCAGCCTGCAGAGAAGGGCCTTGCACTAGGGTCACATGAACTGAGTGGTAGAGCCAGGACTCAGATCACCTTGAGCGTGGGAGCTGTTCCTCTGTACTCCTTGTTGTGTTGGTCATTTGATATTTGACTGTAATCGAGGTGGTGTCAGGGCACTTGGCTTTTGGACAGGACAGACATAAGGTCTAAAACAGACATCTGAATAGGTGGCATGAGCCAGGCACTGCGCTCGAGAGACGTAACTGAAGGTTCAGCAGTAGATGAAGGAGGTGGAGGAGAAAACCATCAGATTATCACAGCACATTGCGATTGGTGGCATTAGGTAAGAGACCTGTGACCCAAGTAGGCAGTGAGGAAGGAATGGGGGAAAGTCTTTGGGGCCTGGGATTCTGGCCGTCTCCATACTGGTATCCCTCCCACCCCCTCCCCTCAGAGCCCATACGTACGAGCCCGTGATGAGTGGGTTCCCACGGGCAGGACCTGTGAGACTTCCTGAATCAGTGTGTGAAACACTGCCTCGTGGATGGTATCTGGCTGATTTTCTCAGGAAGCCTTTCCCTGGGGAGGCTCTCGTCATTGGGCGTCCCCACAGACAGATCCTTTGTTTGTCTCTGCTTCACTTCTGGCCTCCTGGCACAGTTCTGTTTTATGACTTCATAGCAGCAGTACAAGCTGATGGTGACCCTTCTGAGGCCCAGGGGCTGGGTTGCTACATCAGTGGCCCCTGTAGGCCAAGGAATGAGAAATGAGAGTTGGGATAAAACCGTGTCCTTGGCAGACTGTGGTCTCTGCTTCATCTTTCGGGAAGCCTCCCACTTTCTCTTGAGTCAGGGCTCCTGGAGGTGCTTTGGGGTAGTTCTCATGACCTTTCGTCTGCAATCTTGACTCAGGGCGGGTTGCAGAAAGCTCAGGGCAGCTAGGATCCCAAGTGGAAGGACATAAAACAAGTTTTCAGACTCAAACTCCACCTTTGACAGTCATGCAAATTTCACAGCCCTTGTTAAGGGGCTGCATGTATGTTACTTGTGAGTGTTACTGCTCTATGTATATGTAAATGTCTACATACATTATATACATACATACTATTTGTGGCTTAGTCTTACATACTGACTGCGGTCAATATGTACTTTTTAGTTTTCATAGCCTCTCTTACTTTTACTTTTTTTTAGTAGCCTCTCAGCTTCCTGCCCAAGAAGTTCCAAGTTTCTAGTTTTTGCTGGTCAGAAATCACATCTGCTCTTCTCCCTCCTCCTCCCAATGACACCAAGTGCCTGCTTCCTAGAAGAGGGCTGCGACTTGTAATTTAAGCTAGAGGCACATTCTGATGTGTGTGTGGCTTCACGTGGAAATCCGTAGGTTGCTATGACAGCGGAGAATCTCGAGGATCTATTTGCTGTATTAATGTCACCTTGGGTTTTGCATTTTTTTTTAGATTGCAGTGCTATGGTCCACAAAGGCTGTAGAGAAAGTCTGGCCTCCTGTGCAAAGGTCAAAATGAAGGTAAGACATTTCTGGCTAAACCAATAAAATCCACAGATTTGGGAGACTTAAGGTTGAAGGGGTTTGTTTAAATCATTTGGTACCAACTTTGAGACCAAAATAACCAAAAATGATTCTCTCTTTTTTGGAGGAAAGAAAAGATTCTTATTTCACTTTTTTTTTTTTAAGTTTCTTTTTTTTAACGGCTTTTTTAAAAATTGAAGTATAGTCAGTTTACAGTATTGTGTCAATTTCTGGTGTACAGCATAATGTTTCAGTCATGCATGTACAAACATATATTCCTTTTCATATTCTTTTTCATTGTAGGTTACTACAAGATATTGAATATAGTTCCCTGTGCTATACAGTAGAAACTTGTTGTTTATCTATTTGGTATATAGTAATTAGTATCTGCAAATCTTGAACTCCCAAAGAAATGATTTTCTCTTAAGTGATCAGTTCTCTTCTTAATTAACATACGAGGGGTTTGTGGCTTTGGGAAGATAAAATGCTCTCAGAACTTCTCCATGTTAGATACACATTTCTCTGTGATTCTAATCCCTCTGTGTCCTTGTTAAAGTGGTTTTCTTCTTAACTGTGTCCACAGACCTACTGTGTTCTGCACACACCAGGCTTCCTCCTTCAGGATGGTGGGGACAACGGGTGGGCGTCAGGGCTCTGACGTGCCCATGGGCTGGGGAATGTCAGGGTCAAACGCAGCCTGTCTGGCAGCACTTTTCTCCACAGGTTCGTCTGGGTGACTCTGATCACATGACAAGAGTAGGAAGTTAGTGGGCTCTGAGAATGGACGCTGGGTGGTAATAACCAGACACATCTATCTAGCAGATTCTGGGTGGGGTAAGGCCCAGGGATTTGCCTGTCTAGGAAGCTCTCAGGTGATGCTGATGCTGCTGGTCCCAGGGCCGTCCTTTGAGAAGCCCTGAGCTAGTGTAAAGACCGCCGACTTCTGCACCCCGCCTGGGTCATATTCAGCCCATGGACGTAAATTTTGTTTGGTTCACGGAGTTTTGGGGGGGGGGTTAATATATTTATTGAAAAATTATACTTCATAGCAATTTGGACTTCTGATTTGTCCTGAAAAAAATGGAGACTCTGACAGCCCTGGTATTTCCTCTTACCCAGCAGACCCAGTCCCCACCTTGCTCTTTTTTTTTTTCGTAGTACTTATCACCTTCTCAGGATCTGTTTAACAGTCTGTGTTTATTTATTGCATTTCATTTTTATGATCTTCACCTCTCCTCCCCCCACCGCTAGAATATAAGCACCAAACTTGCCAGGCAGTCTGAAGTCAGGAGTGTGTGACCCATTGGTGGAGCACATAGAACGGTGTCTGGCTTGTAGGTCCTTCCTTAACTGTTGAGAGATGGATGGCAAGTGATAGTCAGCAGCTGCCTCCTCAGACGAGAGGGTTGCCACTTCCCATCACTGCCATGCATTACCTGCCTGGCCCCGTAGGCATCTGAGTCTGTGATCTCTGATAAGGTGATGTTACTATGAATGTGCTAGAGAGGATGGAGATGACGGGGATGTAGCGTATCCCGCGTCAGAGGCTGTAACGGAAAAGGAGGAGCTCCATTTTACACTTGATCTTAGCCAAAAGGCCGAGAAGCGATTCCATTTTAAATTACTCTGTTTCCCCTAGGACTTGTTGTTTCAGTCTGTAATTTCTCACAGGAGTGTTTCTGTTCCATTCTATAACAGAAGTCTTGCAGTGAGCACTCTACCTAAGATTTATTTAACACCTTATAAACACTACTCACTGGAGAAATAGAAATGAAAAGGGCTCTTAAGGAACCAGTGTTCTGGTGGGGAAGATGGATGAGTAGACGATGACCATAAGTGGGGAAAAAACTAGGTGGGGGGTCTGCGAAGGATTTGGGGGAGGGGGTGCCAGTCACTGCCTTGGGTGAGGAGAAGAAAGATGCTAATGGATGGCTTTACCAAGGAGGTAACACTCAAGTGACCTTGAAACAGAAGGATGCCATGCCTGTGCGGGTGAGGAGAGCACTCCAGGCAGAACAGAAGAAACAGCGTTTGCAGAGTCAGAGTGCTTGGCAGGCTCAGAGGAGAGCTGGTGGTCCCCTACCATGGCTGGGATGAGGATGCCGAGGACCACCGGCAAAGAACAGCAGGGGGGTAGGAGCAGCTGATCTTTTCCTACTCTCAGCCTCGAGAAAGTTGACGGAAGATAAATTGTAAATGCAGTCTTCATGTATTTATTTTCTTTTACTTTCAGCAGCCCAAAGGGAGCCTTCAGGCACATGACACTTCATCACTTCCCACAGTCATTATGAGAAACAAGTGTAAGTAGCTCAGCCCACCTCTCATAACTCCTTTTTGACTCTGGTTCAGGACTGAAACGCACTTTTGTGATACTCATTCGTTAAGATTTGAATACCTATTTTGTGACAAGTTAGAGAAGGTTGCAGGTACATTGACCAGAAGCTTGACCATCAAACCATCTTAGAAGGTTCTAGAATAGTGTGTGTGTTAGCTTAAAAGGCAGTGCCTCAGCCCCGTGTGTTTAAGCGAGTGTCCCCTGTGCATTTCGAAATTCCTCTTCCATCAGTTGACAATTAAACCTGCTTTTTAGTGCCTTCAGAGTTGCGTCAAATAAGACATTGCTTATTAAACTTCTTGATAAACTATTATGTAAATAGTTCTTTTTTTACCCCCAAGGGCTTCAAGTGGTTCACAGAATTAAGTAAATCACACTGTCTCATTCACGTCAAACTGCCTCTACCAGTCTGTGCAAGGCTCCACTTTGAGAAGGGGAAAATATTAAGCAAAACAATTCTTCATTCCCTATCTCACTCTTTTCCCCTCTTTAGCACCCACTGTAGTATATTCGGTGTAAATTTTTTTCTAATCTGCCATGTCTTTAGACATAGTATACCTCTGAAATATCTCTTACTGTTTTGTGTGTTGAATGTAAATTAGGTGATATGACTTTAGCTTATCCATTCTGCTGCTGCTTTTTCACTCAACATCATTTTGAGATCTGCACGTTATTGTATGTAAGCTATCGTTTCAGATTGCTGCGTGGTATTCTTTCATAAACATATACCACATTTTAATTATCAGTTCCCCCAAAGACGGGTATTTGAGTTGTTTCCAGCTACTGCCATAAATAATGCAGTAATGAACATCACCTTAATTAGCTCTTCGGGAACCTGTGTGAGACTTACCCCGAGGCAGTGTTTTTCAAAGTGTAGTTCCTGGATCAGTTAGAAGTGCAAATTCCTGGGCCCTACCCAGACCTACTCCATCAGAAATTCCAGAGGTAGAGCCCAAGGATCTGTGTTTTAATAGACCCTCCAGGGGATGGTGCGGCCCACACTCCAGCGTGAGCACCACTCCTCCCTGCCTGTCGGCCCTGCGTGCCTCCAGCGGCTCCATCAGGAGCGGCCATGCAGTCCGCACTGCCCCGGAGGGTGTGCAGTCCCTTTAAACAGAAGTCCACCTATCACCAGTCCTTGCATAGAGACTGGAAGAAAAGTTTTACCAGACTGTCACCCGCTTGAAGCCCATTGTAACACCTTTTACAAAGTGCAGTCTTCCATAAAATTTTTTGTCTGTGACATTACTCCTTGTTTCAGAAACCTGTTTCCTTTCAAATCAGATAAAATAACATCCTTCCAAAAAAAATACTGTTGCATTATCTCTGACCCCCATGTGTTTTCTTATTCTTATTTCATCCCACTGAGCCAGCACAGTGGGAAGAGCACAGATTGTGGATTCAAGTTATGGGTTTGAGTCCCAGCCCCCCACATAACAGCTGGGTATCCCTGGACATGTACTAAATCGCCCTGTACCTCGTCTCCCTCCTCTCTGAGAGGGTGATAATATATATCAGCAGGTGGTACCACGTTTAAATGAGATGCTACCTAGGAAGTACATAGGAGTAGGCCTCCTACATCCGCCAGCCCCGCCATCACAAATATATAAGGATGCTGAGGCCCAGAGATACTAAGCAGCTTACCTGAGTGGAGTGGATTGGTTTCAAACAAGGGAAACCTGTTATTTTCACCCCCCACCACCGTGTGCTGCTTTTTAGACACAAGTTGTTCTTTATAATTTCCAGGGCTCTACATTGCATCACTCTGTTCTGCTTCTCCAGCAGTTTCACTGATCCCTTATATGTATCTCCCCTGCTTCCTCCTCTTGTTGCCTCCCTTCCATACGAGCACTGCGAGTATTTCTGCCTTCCTTCCTACACTCTTGCTCTTTCCCTTATGACCTACCCACTGCCTTCTTGTTCTTCAAGAACCAGAGTTTCTTCCTCCACCAGATTTTCTCTGCTCACTGACCTCCCTTCTGACACACTGAGGGTGTGCTCCAGGCTCTTGGATGTTTACGCATCTTCTCTTTCCTACCAGTTGCCCTTCTTCTCTGTTGTGGGGCAGGGCCTGTGTCTCGTGCTTCCTGCAGGGAGGGTCTGGTCGTGTTGTGCTATGGCATGTTTCTGGTGCTTATTATATCAACATCTTCTAAATAGAATTTAAATTGGAAATTATTGTTTTGATGAATTTTATCAAGTCAGAAGCATCCTGAAATACTGTGCAGTCATAACAGCTGCCCCAGTTGTGTTTCCTTCAGTTCCTGACGTGCCTGAGGATGAGCAGATAATGCAGCTCATGTCTGGGACAGGAGCTCAGTTCCCAAGGAAGAATAATTTGTTACCCAGATGCCAGTGTGACTACTTTAGCATAAAAGTAGAGCTCCAGTTCCCTCTTTGGTCACATTCAAGAGAGAGACACAGTCTGAGGACAAGTTAGCTATGTGATGTTTAACAGGTGTTGTTGCATTTTCCTCGTCTGTAAATTAAAGGAATTGGCCAAAATCTGTGCTCTCAGACACTGTGCAGAAGGATCACTTGGGGAGCTGGTAAAATCAGTGTGGACTCCCAGGTCCCGCCCCCAGAGGACAGGGAGGGCTGGGGACTGGCACATCCAGCAAGCCCTGCAGATGACCTTGGTAGGTTCTCCCAAAGAGCGCTGGCTGCAGTGATTTCTGAGGTTCCTTTTGTCCTTAAAATTCTTTCAACTTTATTTTCTCTTATTTTGAATTAGTTTACATTTTTAAATCTGTGGTGCTTTCTTATTGCCTGATTTCCATGACACCCCACAGGGGACCACTTTTCTTAGTTTTGTATTTATCTTCTTCAAGTTTCTTTAATAAAACAAATATTAATTTGAATTATTTATTTGTTTTAAATATGGAAAATAGTCTGATGTTCACTTTGTTCTGCACCTTGATTCCGCACCCCCCCCAAATACATTATCCTGCAGATCTGTGTCAGTTCAGGGAGAGCGTCCTCATTTTTCTTCAAAGCTTCGTAGTGCCCAGGTATAGGGTGTACCATGATTTAGTAATTGATCTTCTTTTGATACTCAGTTTGTGTCATTTTCAGTCTTCTGCTTTTACCAGACTTAGCACTGAATAACTTTGCACTACGTCATTTCAAACAAACAAGTGTATCTTGTAGAATAAACATATCCTACAGTGGAGTTGCTAGATCAAAAGGTACAGGCATTTACAGTCTCAATAGCTGTTGCCAGACTGCCCCCCAGGGAGTCTTTGTGCCCATTTGTGCAGCCAGGGTAAATCTCTTTGAAAGCAGTTAGCTTCCATTTGGCGGCTCTCAGGTGAATCAGGGCCATAGGATGTGGACAGGTGACACAGCAGTTGGCATCCTCTCTTCCTTGCAGCCTCCCAGCCCAAGGAGCGTCCTCGGTCTGCAGTCCTCCTAGCTGATGAGACCTCTGCCGCCCCCATGTTTGCTAATCGACGGTCCCAGCAGAGTGTCTCGCTCTCCAAAAGCGTCTCCATACAGAACATTGCTGGGTAAGTGGGGACATAAAAATCGCCCAGGCGACAGAAGCATAATAATTTAACAAAAAGATTCTTGGAGGAAAAGCGTATAACCTGACGGACTGGCGCACAGCCAGGTTATCCGCGCGCGGGGAGCCGGACGAGGACCATGTTCTCCTGCAGCCTCAGGATTGCCCCCTGTAACAGGATCCCTCCCAAACCCCATTCTCAGGCCGGTTCTTCTCCGCTTCTGTACATGATCAGCCCTGCTTGTGAAGAACCTGCATCCTAAGAGGAGTATTTTTAGATCCAGATAAGAAGTAGAAATAGGAAGAAAAAAAAAAGATGATTTAATTCTGAATTTTGGATTGCAGCCAGCCACTCATGTTTTCAGATGTCACACTTCACTGCTGATCAGAGGAACCTGGAGGGTGGGAGGTTTTTTGGGGGTTTTTTTTGGTTTTGGTCCCCCCCCCCCCACTCTTTTCCATTCTTGCCTCTTGACTCTTAAGTCACGGGAGTGAGTAGCGAGTCAGTCATTACAGTGGCTCCCGGTCACTCATCTGCACTGAGTTCCTTCTGTGGCCCCTACAGAAAGCTGCTATGGCCCCTGACTGTTCAGGCCTCGGCTGTCTGCGGTGAGCACAGGGGTGATTATGATGTTGCTGGCTGTTGAGTAAGATGCTTGCTTTCCCATCAAGTAAAGAAGTCATCTCAAATGTAGGACTCAAAACATCTCTTGCAGCTCTCTTAACCTAGCCTGGAGGAAAATTCCCAACTGAAGGATGCAGATCTCCTTTCGTCCGTATTTCCTAACTTCTGTGCTGGCTAATGTTTCCTCCCCCTTTAAAACAAAATTTTTTTTCAGGTATTTTTATATTCTTTTGTCTTTGTATTGTAATTACCCAAAGGCCTTCTTTTCAGAGTTGTTAATAAAATCTTTTAGTATTATGCCTTTGAAAGTTGGCCTTTAAATAAAATTTATTTTCAGATGACTCTGGCTCACTCACTGTGTTGTACCACGAATAGTTATTGGTGCCCACTGTGCTAGTTGGTGAGTTGGGGTTGAGAAAGTCCAAAGAAGACAGTCTAATATAAGTGCTTGGTTTATAATTATGTAGGCAACATGGGGGGAAAGTGTGGTGGTTAGACATGAATTTCAAACAGAGAAATCTCTTATATAATTCTTCCAAGGTCTGAAGGAAGAGCTTTCTCCTTGCTGCCTATCATTAAAAAACAAAACAAAGCCCAAGGCCCAGAAAGTTCACATTTGCAATGATGCTAAATGCCTCCAAGCCTCCTTAATGGTTCGTGTTGCACGTTACTGGGTTCCTGACATGAGGAATTTGTCTTCAGTCATTGTAGCGCTTACAGCCTGCTGTCACAGTATAGTTTTTCAGATCCTCACTTAAGTCCGCAAACCATGGCTTATCAGAATGCGTTTGACTGTGTGTTTCTTTTGGTCCCCAGAGTTGGCAATGATGAGAACATATCAAACACCTGGAAATTCCTGTCTCATTCAACAGACTCACTAAATAAAATCAGCAAGGTCAATGAGTCAACAGAGTCCCTCACTGATGAAGGTAAGAGGAAGTTACAGCCTGTATTGCACGCAGCTGTACAGACTCCGTGCCCGTACCATTGCCCAGAATGCAAGTGCTGATGGCATAATGGTTCCTGCCTCTTCCTTACCCGTGTGAAGATTCTCTAAACTGTCTGTAAAGCTTCAAATGCTTTATAATGAGCTGGTGATCACACTTGCCCAGTTGTTAGATAGATGTCCACTGAAGGATGCTATTGATTTTAATGTGGTCACACTCCAGTACAAAGGCTCTTTCTTCCCCTAGCCTTCTATGAACGTTCAGTTTCCAGCTCTCTGGCGCAGTTGTAAGCCTATTCTCTTAAACAGATAGAGTCACCAGGACTCTTACTGCTTCACATAGGAATCATGTCTTAACCACGTTTTATTTACGTGACATTTATCATCCTTAACCAAAGTCTTGAAGATAGAGTATGTCACTCCTGAACAGAAAATTAACTTCTTAGTGAAATATGCATTCTGTGAACATCCCCCATATGAGTACTCTCGTGAAACTATCACCCTGAGGAACGTCCAGTGTAGTTTTAGAGATCACAGGTGCAAGATTCTGATATTGATTTTTTGGTATTTTGAGGAGTAGGTACAGACATGAATGAAGGACAGCTAATGGGAGACTTGGAGATTGAGTCCAAACAGCTGGAGGCAGAGTCCTGGAGTCAAATAGTGGACAGCAAGTTTCTGAAACAGCAAAAGAAAGACGTGGTCAAACGGCAAGAAGTGATTTATGGTGAGACTGCTCATTTGCTCTGTTAATATTTGATTTGCTTATCTGGCATTATTTATCAGGTGGTTTATTGGGTTGTGGAAAGTCAATTTTCAAGTATGTAGCATCTCAAAGATTTTCTTCAAAAACTTTGAGGAGAGAGGAGGATATAGGTCAGTGGTAGAGTGCATGCTTAGGTCCTGGGTTCAGTCCCCAGTACCGCCATTAAATAAATAAAAATAAATAATAATATTTAAATAAAAAACAAATAAACCAAACCTCCACCCCCCTAAAAAAAACACACTTTGAGGTATAGACATGATCTTATTTCTGTCCTTTTCTCTCTCTTCGAAATTGTTTCCTTTAGTTTTATTGCACGTTGCATTTAATCCAAGTGCTTATCTATGCAGCAGTCCTGGAAGGAGCTCCCTAGTGTCAGTGCAGTTTAACTCCCCAGCTACCCTAGAAACTAGACTAAACACAAGTCTTTTCTGGGATATGGGAACACAGTAAATTATGAAAGGTTTGGAATCCAGTGAAGACCACTCTGGAAACCGCCATTTAAGTGTGATGGAATCCAGTGTGCCTGTCAGCAAATAGCGTGAGGTCGGGTGAAAAATAGAGGAATAAGATGAAAACAGGTCAGGGAAAAGATGGCTGCTGACCCAGTTTTAAAGTTTAAACTGGGCTCTAAATATCCTTAACACAAAAGTTGGGCTCCTAACAGCAGCAGACGTGTGAGAACCCTCCAGGAGAGCATTCCTGACCGTTAGGCTTTGCCCCTGCTCCAGAGCTGATGCAGACGGAGTTCCACCACCTCCGCACGCTCAAGATCATGAGTGACGTGTACAGCCGGGGCATGATGACGGACCTGCTCTTTGAGCAGCAGATGGTGGAGAAGCTGTTCCCCTGCTTGGATGAGCTGATCAGTATCCACAGCCAGTTCTTTCAGAGGATCCTGGAGCGGAAGAAGGACTCTCTGGTGGACAAAAGCGAAAAGAACTTTCTCATCAAGAGGATTGGAGATGTGCTTGTTCATCAGGTGAGCAACGGAAGGGTCTCTTCTCACACACACACCTGGGGAAAGCGGAGCTTTGGGGCCCCTGAGCCGTGGCTCTGCCGTTTGTTCTCTGTAAGCTCAGGCAAGTAGTTCAGTCTCTCCAATCCTCCATTTCCTTTTCTGTAGATGAGGACAGTAGACTTTCTTTTTTAATGCTGTAAATGTAAAAGTTAAAAAGAACATATATGTAATAGACTTTAATTTTTAATGATGTTTTTAAAAATTAAAAGAAACACATACACGAAGTACCTCGCATATATGGTAGACACTCAGTAGAAGTCAGGTTTTCTTTCTCAGAGCCTGTGCCACCATCAGAGGTAGTGTAGTTTAAGAGATCAAAAAATACTTGTTGAAAGTCTCAACTTCTTCTTATGCATCAAATCAAAAGGAATTCATTTATCTAAAAACCACCTGAGCCTAAGAAGTTGACAGGAAATCATCTATAAAATAATTCATAAAATATCTCTTGCTAATGTTTCCATCAAAGTGTGTTATGGTTTCAATCCTACATCAGAAAAAATTTGGCTAAAAATTATTTTGATACTTTCAGATGTATATGTCATAGGCAGTTTTTAATGTTTCTTTTTAAAGTATTCTTTTTGGAAAAAAAAATTTTTTTTTTTTGCTAGTATAACCTTAGCAGGCAGAGGGGCATAACCTCACATCTGACTACGTCCTTTTCACCAGCAAAGCTCTGCCTCATTGTAGAAGCAGAGACTTACGTGCTGGAATGTTTGCCTGAGAATTGGAAATTCTGCCCTCCCCTTGTATTCATGAGCCTGTGCCCCTCAAGTGTCTACTGGGCATTTACTCTACCATGTGGAACCACAAAGGTACATGTAGTTTAGACCTCAGCCCTGTGGAACTCACGTTCTAGGAGTGAAAATAGGTGTGTTACGAAATAAATGCAGATGCATTATAAATCAATAAAAAATGTTAAAAAAAGTAAAAAAAAATGCAAATGCAGTCTGGTGGACACTTTCACACTGACAAGGCCTCAGAGTGGGAGCGGCCAGCTCTCCAAGTGAGAACCCTCCCTGCCCAAACGTCCCCTCTCCTGCCCTTTTCCGTGTCTCTCCCTCTGCCCGTCTGCCCTCAGACCTGCACAGGTGCCTCATCTAGCCTTGACTTGTGCTGTTTGTAGCCCCTTGTGTTTGTGCACGTGCTCTAGTAAGACCCTGACAGTAGGATTCATGTCTTAGCCCCATGGTGTCCATTTGTTGGTTCTTAGTGTCCAAGCTCAAATCATCCTTATAGGGCACGTGTGATGGCAGCAGATCACTTTAAGTCTCTCTGCCTCAGCTCCTCCTGCGACAGAGGGGGAGAGCAAAGGCTAACGTTTTCCAAGTTCTCTAGTAAGGATCAATTTGTGTTGCCTCCAGACATTGTTAGTACAGTGGAAATCTACACCTAGCATGTGTCATAGGGCCCATGTACAGAAACTCTCAGGTTTACCCCAAAGTGAACATATCTTCAGATAAACCATTGAGATGACACATACTTGGGAGTGATTTAAGGGTCACAGAGAATTGTTAGGACTGCTGACCCAAGGTAAGGAGGATAAACGTATCCCCAGGTAATGAGAGCTGGTTCTGATGTCTAATCATGAGGAACTTGTAGTGTTTCCTTATTTTATTACTATGTTTATGATAAGTGGAAGTTAGAACACGTTTTGCATTTCTTACGTGTACAGTACATAACAGGTATACCTGTATTATTTTTAATATAGGTGATGGCTTTGTTGAAATATTCATATGCCATATGATCCACCCATTTAAAGTGTACAGTTCAGTGTTTTCCAGTATATTCATGGAGTTGTGCAGCCATTACCACCATTACTTAGAGAAAATTTTTATCATCATCACCCCCACCAACTTCCCCAGTCCTAGGCAGAAGCTAATCTACTTTCTCTGTTGATTTGCCTATTCTGGACAGTTATGTAAATGGAATAAAACAGTATGTTGTCCTTTGTGATTGGCTATTGTCATTCACACGCATCTGCCACATTTTATTTATCCGTTTGTCCTTTGGTGGACACTGGGGCTGTTGTGAGGAAGCTGCTGTGAACATTTGTGTGCATATTTTTGTGTGGACTCCTGTTTTTATGTCAAGGAGTGGAATTGCTGGATCATATAGTAACTCTGTATTTAACTTTTTGAAAAAAATGCCCGACTGTTTTCCAAAGCTCCTGCACCATTTTAATTTTAGGGGGAAATTTATGAGAACGCTGTCTTGAATTTTACAAATAGCCTGGAAACTTTGTACAAAATGATAACATGAGTTTCACACCCTGAGTCATGGCATGATTTCTGTTCTCTTTCCTCTGCAGTTTTCAGGTGAAAATGCAGAACGGTTAAAGAAGACGTACGGCAAGTTCTGCGGGCAACACAACCAGTCTGTCAACTACTTCAAAGACCTTTACACCAAGGATAAGCGTTTTCAGGCCTTCATGAAGGTATCTATGTGAAACGTGAAAATCCCCATCATTGTCCAGAGTGCTGTGTCACCATCAGTTTTAGCTAGAGGCTTCTCCCCCGGGTGGTTCCTGACACTTGGTTTCCTCCCTTGCAGAAGAAGATGAGCAGTTCCATCGTCCGGAGGCTTGGAGTCCCCGAGTGCATATTGCTTGTAACCCAGCGGATCACCAAATACCCAGTTTTGTTCCAAAGGATATTGCAGTGTACCAAAGGTGGGTCTCTTTTCTGACTCAGTCTTGTTCGCCAGCGGCCTGTTTTCCCTATGTCCGGCAGCACTAGAGAGCCCATAGAAGAACTCTTCCATGTCTAGTTTGACTTAAAGAGATCCTGTGGTTGCATTAAGGATTAGGTAAAAGAAAAACATAAATAAAAAACTCGTTGCTCCTCTCCCTCCCTAAGAGGGTTGGGTTCTTCTGCTTTAGAGCATAGCATGTAATTGCATGTTACCTGTCTCACTGAAACGTCTTAACTGTTTAGAATCAGACTGTGACAGAGCGAGAAGTGGGCACGTGACCCTTGACCTGACAGCATGCTCACAAAGGGAGAAGAATGACGTGGAGCAGGAAGGCAGGGTTCCCCATTGTCTGAAAGAATCCATTAAAAGCAGAGTGATTCTTCTCTTCTCAGACAGTGCAGTGGAGCAGGAAGACCTAGCTCAGTGCCTGGGCCTGGTGAAGGACGTGATTGGCGCTGTGAACAGCAAAGTGGCAAGTTACGAGAAGAAAGTCCGTCTCAGTGAGATCTACACAAAGACAGACAGCAAGTCGATCATGAGGATGAAGAGCGGTCAGATGTTCGCCAAGGAGGATCTGAAGCGGAAGAAGCTTGTGCGGGATGGAAGCGTGTTTCTGAAGAGCGCCACGGGGAGGTTGAAAGGTAAGGCTCACTTTTGTCTGGGTCTCAGTGTGTGCCAGAGGGGAGCAGGCAGAATACGAGTGTGTCTGCTTAAAAATTCACCGCCAGGTCGCTCCTGGGGACCTGGGTCCAAATATCACGCAGGAGCAGGAGTCGTTCACTTGTTCCTAATCTGTCAGGAGGGACTGGTTTGAGATGGCTTGCAAAACCATATAAAATATAATAAAGGTAACAAGAAAATGATGCAGTCGGGAAATGAAAAAATATAGAAAACAAAGCAAAGGGTAAGATAATACAAAAAGGAAAGTTGTTCTGGAATGCGTGCTCCCCTATGAGAGATGGACAAGAAATTCGGGTCTGGGTTCTGGCAAAACAGTTGCCAGGAGGGAAGAACACCCATTGGTCACACAGTTCCTAGGGTCTCTGAGGTTAAAAATCCATCACGCGTTCTGAAGAAATGTTAGAGGAATTTTCAGCTCCTGAGACCTTAGAGAAACGTAAGTTTAACTCACATCAACTAGATTTATTACTAAACCTTGTTGTTCATATCTTTTATCTTTCTCTAAGCAAAAGAGATCATAAAAGATACTCATCCGCATTCAGTTTTAGTCTTTGACTTTTAAGTGATGAGATCCATCAATTTAAGGAAGTTAGGAGGTTTGTTAATTCATCTGTACACCTGGTGGTGTTTTTAATCATTATTTTCATCAAACCTGTATTCTCTGGGCCTGTATGGTAACTCCAGCCGCACCAGTAGCCTTGAGCATCCCAGCCTGCCTCCTGGCCTCAGTGAGCTAAGCACACAAAGCCCCACTGGCATAAAGCCCACGTGAGTGAAGTGTGTGCTGCTGCTGCCTCCGAGGAGTGCGTCCTGCTTAGGTTACTGCTGTCAGAACTCCCAGGAGTCCTTAGCTAGAGCCTCGCCATGCTGATACCAAACAGTAAAGAAGTCCCAGGCAGTCCGCTCGGCTCAGAGGTGAATGAAGCAGGATCAGCACGAAGAGACTTGCAAGGATGATCTTGCTCTCGCAGTTGATCCTGGGTGCTGGAATGGAGGCGTGAACTCAGGATGGGGAGAAGGGGTGAGAAGCAGCATTTGAGTTAAGTCTGGAAGGATGAGGAGGGAGCCAGGCAGAAGGGAGGAGTAAGCCTGGAAACTTACTCCTCTGGGACATCAGGAAGGGGGGACAGTTGGGGCTCAGGCAGGCAGCAGAGTGAGGCAGGGAGGACTGGCAGGAAATAAGGCTGACGAATCGGCTGAGGGTCAGGTTGGAGCAGGTACGTACTCCAGACTAAGGGGCTGACAGCAGTAGTGGTGATGGGAGCGGGCAAAGAATGCATTCAGAATCGAGGGCTTTAGAAGGAAAGGGATGAATTAGAGTGTGTGTAAGACAGCCGCAGGGGCTTTGGGGAGAGTCTGTAGGAGGGAGGAGAGACTGGGGACTGAAACCTGGGGGAGCAGCTGTTGGAGGGCCTCGGGGAAGGGTGCACCGGGCAGGGTCATTTCAGACAAAAGAAATACCCCTTCCTGCCACCAACCAGCTGGGTGTCTCACTGCTCCAGGATGAGCTCCGTGATCCCTGAGGCTCCTTCCTTCCAGCCCTAATACTGTGTGATGTTCAGAGTCCCTCAGTGGAGGCTCTGACCACACTGCCGCTTCGAGGCCATCTTCGAGGCAGCCTGGCGGTTGAGAAACGCCTGCCCTCTCTTGTAAGGGTGGGTTTCCTAGAGCTGCTGCTGCCCGGAGCCAGCGCTGTGTTCTTTCTTTACACAGCAGTTTGTTTATTCATTCCCAAAATAAAAATTAATAGATCCCAGCTGTTGGAATAAAGTTGTGGTCAAACCAATGGCAAAAGGATAGGTTTTCTGGCCTGAAAAATCTCCAGTGGAGAGAGGAGTTGGTGTTTAGTCATTTCACCCCCTGAGTGAGCTCATGCCGAGAACAGCCAGTACTGTGTTGGGTAACCTTTGAAAGGGGTGAGATTGTTTTTCTCTGATCCACTGACACTGATCCTATAAACTTCAGGATCCAACAAAGTTGAAACTTGTGTTTTAGAACTTTTGGAGGGGGGCAGTCACCTGAACTATTTAAAAATAAACTTGAAAAAAAAAAACTTGTCAAAACTAATGGTAGTGCATGGAAAATTACTGTGGTCCAGGCTGAAAAACTAGACCTCCTAGGAATCAGACATCCTTGCTTCTGTTTTCTCCATGGTTTTGCAATGAATTACACAGAGAGGGGACCCCAGTTGTGGCAGAAGTGATTGAAAAGACTAGGAGGGGCCTGACCCCCTGGGAGGAGGCTACATAAGTGAGTTCCACTCTTTCCCCAAGGAGTGGTAGGCTCCCCTTCCCAGAGTAAAGGTGATTCACAGGGCTGGTCTGTTGGATTTCCAGGAATATCACATTGTGTCCTGAAAGGAATAATGGAAAATGTCATTTCATGCTCCAAGAGAATTAGAGCAAGAGTTGGTGACATTCTTTTGAGTCCTGGATCCAACTGGAGGTGTTAACTTGGTTTTTGTTTTGTTTTAATTGAGAAGAGAAGGCTGTTTACATGGAGCAGAAAGGTTGAGGTCGACTGTGATGTGTTGGAGCTGAGGACAGAGTCACTGTTTTCACGTGTACCTGTGAGATCAGTGGGCGTTGTCAAGCTGTTCTTGTCCTCCTGGGCGTGTGGAAGAAGCCTGCTTTTCCTTAGACTCAGAAATGTTTATATCACCTTCTGGCAGCTTTCCTGTCTGCTGTTCCACGCCTGTCCCATTACTACGATCAGAAGTTGAGAAATATTATGACCTGGGATTTTGTGGGATATGTTGCTGTTTAACATCTGTTAAAATCCTGCTTTGCAACTTTAAAGTATTTTATTTTTAAAAATCTTGCCTTGCGGGGAGGGTATAGCTCAAGCGTTAGAGCGCATGCTTAGAGTGCACAGGGTCCTGGGTTCAATCCCCAGAACCTTCTCTAAAAATAAAGAAAGAAACCTAATTACCACCCCCCAGCTTGAAAAAGAAAAAAGAATCTTACCTTATGGGATATATCTTTCCAGCAGTAAACACTCAAACCTTCCCATTTGAAAATGCTGCTAGAAATCCAATGACCAGATGTGGGTCCTGCAGAAATATCCAGTCCTTGCCTCGGAGGGGTGTGGTCTCCATCCATTGTGCTCTGTGGGTGTACTGCTGAGTTGTCCTAAGAAAGTGCCCCAAAGGTGCTTAGCTGTGCCGTGGTCATTGTTCTCTCTTCCCTTCCCCCACTTTACAGAGGTTCAAGCGGTCCTGCTCACTGACATTTTAGTTTTCCTTCAAGAAAAAGACCAGAAATACGTCTTTGCATCATTGGTAAGCTGGATTAATTGTTCATCTGTATGTGTGACTGACAGTATTCAGAGCAGCGAGGGGAGGTGTGGAGTGTAGCACTGCTCCCCCATGAAAACTGACTGGCTCAGGACAGATGTCTCCGAGTCATTTCTCACACACCCTGGCAATTCTCTGCCCACCTCCTCCCGACTCCACATTATTTGTTCCTTCGTAATCCCTTTGAAAACCTTGGCCATTTGCTCTAAAAAGAAGCCTGTCACTGGAGTATTTCTCACACATTCTGTCTTACAAGTCATACAAATTTGTAACATTGCCAGCCAGATTCTGACAAGCCTGAAAGGGACTCATTGCTCGATGCTTCATAGCCTCAAAGTCTCATTTCCTTTTTGGAAATCTTTTTCTGTTTGATAAAATGTAAGTGAAATAACAAGCTCTTTCTTTTTCTCCTAAATTTGCCCTTTTTTGTTAAGCCATATGCTTTCACAAGACGCCCAGTCTTACCTTAGATGGAAGTTGTCCTTCAGAGTTAGAATACTGCATCCATGTCTTCTGTCTGCCCTCTCCCCTTTGTCCAGGACCAGAAATCAACAGTGATCTCTTTAAAGAAGCTGATTGTAAGAGAAGTGGCTCATGAGGAGAAAGGTTTATTCCTGATCAGTATGGGGACAAAAGATCCGGAGATGGTGGAAGTCCATGCCAGCTCCAAAGAGGAGCGCAACAGCTGGATCCAGATCATCCAGGACACGATCAACACCCTGTGAGTCAGACACCCCGGCCCCCCCGCCCCGCCTCCTGGTGCCTCTGTGGTTTCAGAAGGAAACGGGCAGCCTTCAGAGTAATCGACATCTGAGGAACATTTTCTTCTGTTTTGGTGTTTTAGGAACAGAGACGAAGATGAGGGAATTCCCAGTGAGAATGAGGAAGAAAAGAAAATGCTGGACACCAAAGCCCGGGAGCTGAAAGGTAAAGCTGGTGGGAGTGGTTCAGACCCCTCACTGCCTGTCGGGCATCGGTGGTCACGGAGGGAGCCCCTGCTGCTCCTCGGTTCCAGGCTGTCCCGGTGGCACTGGAAACAGAAGAGAAAACAAATCTGAGCCGGCACAGGTTCCAGTGAAAAAACGGCTGTAGGAACATGTCCGATACTAGATCAGGGACATCGATTCTCTTGTCTCGGTATCAGTGTCCTTGGACCCTGGTGACATTCTTTCTACTTTATCACAGAAGAATTTGCCAGAATTCACAGTCACATCTAAGGTTAAAACAAAAAGGAGAGAAAAGTACTTGAGGAAAAGAATTTTCCAGTTAATCTGTTTATCACTGTGCCGCTCGGCATGTTCCAAACGCGTTACGAGGTAATTTGGGAGAGGTGTGCTTATGGGCTGTGTTTGACTACTGTTTGTTGCGGCCTTTCATGTAGTTTTATCAGCATCCTGGCAAGATGTGTACTCTAACCCCATTGTGCAGATGAGAAAGCTGAGGCCCGCGAAGGCCGGGCAGCCGAGGGTCACATGCATGGTTCATGGCGGAGCCAGGACCCTGTTCCCTGTCTTCTGAACGCCGGGGCCGAGCACTCTCCCCTCCTTGCTCGTGTTCACTGAACGTTCTGAAGTAAAGACGCATGTGCTTTAGGTGGAAATGAGGCCCAGAGTCAAATAAGTGTAAGCACCCAAGGAGTATAATTAGTCCTTCAAGCTGGGAAAGATGGTAACATTCTGTGTCAGTGAGGAGAAGAAGAAAAAAAGATGGACAGATTTAGACTGGTGCTAGCATCACATCAAATTTACTGGCCTGTGACTAGGATGGCAGAGAGGAGTACTTCCTTCTTGTAACATGTGCAAAGCACCTGGCCCGGCCTGATACTAGGTGCTGGGGGTGCAGAGTCCTGAAACAAAGTCCCTGCCATCGGGAGGCCCGCACTCCGGTGAGGGAGACACACGTAAATGACAGGCCACCTAGGCCATGGGCACACGTGAAGTGTCTGGGACCCACGAAGCCCACCTGCGGTTAAGCCTCAGAGAAGCTGACACAGGAGCTCTGTCTGGAAAAACTGACCTCCAGATGAAGAACAGTTAGGTGAAAAGTGAAAGAGGACTTGGCACATTTGCCAGGGAATGGCGTGTTTGGTGTGTCTGGAGAGTCAGGGCTGAGGGATGGGAGATTCAGCCAGGAAGACACCAGGTCTTAAAAGGCAACAAGGGAATGACATGATTTTTTTTAAGCAAAATTTAAACTTACATTTAAAAATTGGTAATGAAGCGAGTTGGGAGAATTGTTGGGGTTTGGGGACCCACTGAGAAACTGG